CGTCCAGTGGCCAGTGAGCTATCTGCTTCAACTGGGAAGAGCACAATGATAATACCAACATGGGCCAGTGAAGTGATGTCCTCCACAACTAGACTGAAGAACAAAAGGACAGCAACTTGTCTGTTCCCCTTCCCTGGTTCCCTAATAAAATCTTAAAAAACAACCCCAAAAAACAAAAAAAAACATTTTACAAAATGATCCTGTCTTTAATGGCTTTGACAACATTGTCAAGTGCCCATTTGTATTCTTTAAAAAGTGTGCACATGTGATAATTGCCCTATACACCTTTAGTGTCTTTCTTTCAATGCTTTATCAAACATAGGATTGGCTACAAAGAAACCTGTAGGTAATGGAAGAAAACAGTCCCCTGGTAAAGAATATTATGCTCCTGAACCTCTGCCTCCTGGTGTGTCTGGTTTCCTGCCATGGCGTACTGCAGAACGTGCAAAAAGGAACAGGTAGAATATTTTTATTCCCTATCTTTAGTCATTCAGAATTCTTTATTTTGGAGCTTCTATTATGTGGGAGGTCTCTGTTAGTTTCTATAGAGGAGAATAGATAACTCACACATGGCTTCTGCCTAGTTCACCTTTAAAGAAGCAAACAAGAATTTTAATTCGGAGTTGAAAGTTATTTGAGTGTCAAAATAGATTTAACCCTGTGGGAGTCAAGAGGAGACTAAAATTATCTCTAATTTTATGTGAGAAAGGGTTTCATTGAATGCAGGTGTAGTTGAGCCAAGTCCTGCAACACAAAAATAGGAATTTAGATGTGTAGGCATGGGAAAAAAGACATTGTAAGCATGGGAAATAGTTTAGTGCAGAATGGATGAGAAAGTATAGATTAGACTTAATCTAACCCAGTCAACTGGCATAATTCATTTTAGTGAATCAGATTTAGTGAATCACTCTAGATTTAACTAGTTTTAGCTGATTGCTTACCTACGGGATCGCTGTTCATAGTAATTTTTGTCATAGAAGTGTAAAAGTCCTTTAAAAGTGTTGAACTATTTAATTTTATGCTTGCTAGTGAATTAGATTGCTATAGATTC